AAAGTGCTCTCTTCACTCCCTTCTCGTTTCAGCTTCTTTCTGCCTTTTAGCTACTTTTCAGCATTTTTCAAATTTATGCTTCTTTCAGCCAAATTGGGAAAATGTGTTTTTTCTACTTTCTTCTGCTAATTTAAGCTTGTTCTACCCTTTCAGCTACTTTTTTTTAGCTAATTTCAGCTGTTTTCAAATAAATTCAAGTTTTTTGTGCTTATTTCTGCTTCTTTTAGTCCAAATAGTTTCTGTTAATTTCAGCTCCTTTCAACTTATTTCAGCTACTATTTAGCTGTTTAACGCTAATTTTAGCCTTTCCAGATAATTCTACATTTTTTTTGCTGTAACTTCAACTTTTTTCACCCTAAATCAGCAAAAATGTGCTCTCCACTTCCTTCTTGTAGTTAAGCTTCCTTCTGCATTTTCAGCTACTTTTCGGCTGTTTCGTTCATTTCATTTATTTTTGTGTTATTTTCCTAATTTTTGTGCTAATTTCTGCTTATTTAAACCTAATTCAGCAAACGTGCTCTTTCTCCTTTCTCGTGTTAATTTAGGCTTGTTCTTCCATTTCAGCTAATGTTCTTTAAGCTAATTGCCACTGTTTTTCAGCAAGTTCTTCTATAGTAATTATTTTCACAGGAAATGTCTAGTTTTAGTCTGTTTTTCTGTTAAACTAACTTTTTTTTTAAGAATTACCATTAAATCTAAAGAAGGTCAACATCTGCATTAATCCGTGGGGCAAAATTACATCATTCTTTAATTGCAGTCGTTGGCCGCACAAAATCACTCCAAGGGCCGCAAATGGCCCACGGGCCACACTTTGGACACCCCTGGTTTAGAGTATTTTCCACGTGCTGTCATGAACTCTGCTCATGTGTATTCTGATAAATAAGAAGGCACCTGGCTGCTACGTGCTAAACCCCCTCAAGACGAGATGGGTTTTATTATGACCCGATATGGAGAAGTCTAGAATTGAATCAGAGTGGGCTTGATTTTATTTTTCATCTCCATACACTTGAAGGTCACCAAGATTTCTATAAAGTCTGGAGTGATGGGAAGAAAAAACACGAGTGAGACTTTCTGCAAGCAGAAATAAAAAAAAAAAAAGAAGTTTCATTTCATTGTGATCGTTGTGATGGGATCACAGCTCAGACCCCCCACCGCCACCAACACCTCTGCCTCTCTCTGTGCATCCTCGTGCACGTCCCCTCCGACCGCCTGACACCAGGCTCCCAGGCACCAATTACCGCGGGATGTGTCGCCTTTCTTGCCTCCGAACTGGAAGCGATGTGGCTCGCGCTGCGAAGTCAAACACCACCACCACGCCCGCGAAGCTGCAAAGATCCCTGCCTGCGCCCGCGGCCCTCCATTACGACGAGACTCGTGCCACCGTTTGATTATATTTTTTTTAGGCGTCTTGCTGATTTGCTTTTTTTTTTGAATTTCTCTGCCTGAACATGACAAGACTGGCTTTATGTTCAGCTGACCTGCCAGTTCCCTTCGGCCACTGTGCCACCGTGCAACACCTGGTCAAACACAAACTTCACTGCCAACAGTTATGGGTGCCGTTACATCTCCACACTGCAGCTGGGTGAATATCGCCTTTAAACCTGACAACAAAAAAAGAATACACAATAAAACCTAACTGTTCAACCATACATTAAGTGATAGGCAGCAAATCCATTCCTGTTATTAACTCCCAATTCATCCAAGCAAAAAATTGGGGTCCAGATTCAATTAAGTCACCCACAGCCTAATTAAACAGTGCCTTCCTTATTAGAGCCTTTATAATAATGGTAAATGGTAAATGGAGCTTACTTCTATAGCGCCTTCCAGCCCCCTATGAGGGGCCCCAAGGCGCTTTACAGTACCAGCCATCCACCCATTCACACACACATTCATACACCGGTGGCGGTAGGCTGCCATGCAAGGCGCCATCCAGTCCCACCGGGAGCAACTCGGGGTTAAGTGTCTTGCCCAGGGACACAACGGCACATGGTGTGGGAAGTCGGGATTCGAACCTCCAACCTTCCGATCAGAGGTCGGCTGCCACTACCACTGCACCACGGCCGCCCACATAATGAAGAAAAGAATATAATAAAACAGCAACTCATTAAAGTGAGAGTCTAAATGCAAAGCAGCTGGACCTAATGAGTCGTGGTGTTCCGTAAACAAATGCAGCTTTGTGATTGGCTGAGCTGGGTCGTGACGTAGCGCGCATTAATACGCACCTGTGCCCGATGGGTCTAATTAGGTATAAATTTAGCTTAAATCATATCCGTGTGCTATGATTGTCTGCGATAATGTGGCGGCTTGACTTCACAGCGTTATTATTGGAATTTAATAATAATAATAATAATAAAGAAAGAATAAAAGAAGCACTTAATTCCAGGTAACTTTGATAGGCTATCGGTGCAGAAGACTCGATGTGTATATACATCCAGGTGTGCTGCAAGTAAAGAAGTCCCCCCTTCAGGAAAACTCTCAGGTCGGTGCTGATTTATTTATATATTTTTGTCCTTCCAACTCCGAGCACTCTTTGAAAGCTAGAATTTCTTACTGAAATAGGGACTCCGTGAACGCGTCACGGCTGCATTAAAAGTATAAACTTCGTGACTTACCGATTAAAACGGATGGAGGAGGAAGGGTAGTCCAAATGTCACGGGTCCATTATTATTATTTATTATGATTGAACGCGGAGGAGACGAGCACTTTAGTTTCTCTCCTGTCCAGGATTCGGTGAAGAGAAAAAAAAAAAAAGCGGAGAAAACTTCAAAGTAATTTCGCCGCCCTCCTCTTCTTTCTCGTCCTCTCTGGTCCACGGATTTATTACCGCCGACGCGCGCGCGGGCGAGCAAGTAACTCCGCCGCGCGGGGACGAACCGATGGTCCCGGGATGCTGAAGCCTCCGCACACTTTAATTAAAAAATGTCAAGTTGACGGGTCGAGGCGGCGCGTTCAAACAGCCTCCTTCTCTTTGATGCTTCACAGCCAGTGTCGGCACGCGCGCCGTCCTGCTCTCTCTCGCGCTACACCTCACGCGCTCTGAGTAGTTAACCAATCTGAGGCGCACCGGAGCTGCGCGCTCATTTGCGTGCTGCGAAACGGCAATGACGTTCAAGCTCGCTACAACCAATGGAAGTGTTTCCGTTTTGGATTTTCAAAATAAAAGTTTCACTCTTAACTTTTTAAAGAAATTGGATAAATTACTTTTTTTTATTTTTTTTTTTAGCCTTTTAAGTATACGCTAAACTGTATTAAAGCCAGGAATCTAACTAATACACTTTTTTTTGTATTTTATATTAAATATATAATTATTATTTGAATTTATTTATTTATTTTTAATTATTTGAACAGGTCCCTCTTACAAATGAGTCCCTGTGGTTCAATGAGACTAGCCTGTATAAATAAATGTTGAATGATTTGGGGGGGGAATAAATAAATTATTATTATTAATTGTTATTATTATTATTAAATACTGGAGTGGTGGTGCAGAGGTTGGAGAAGACGGGCCTGTGATTGGAAAGTCTCGGGTTCAACTCCCGCTGCTGTCAACATCAAAATGTGAGTGGAAAAGATGAAACACCCACACCCGTCTCCACCCTCATGTGCTCCACTCTGGGCCCCTGAGCAAGGCCCTTAATGCCTACCATCCCCCAAAAGGGGGGGAGTCCTTCTTGAAAATGAGTTCTCGTGACTCAATGAGACCAGCTGTATAAATAAAGGGTAAATTAAATAAGCCAACTTTTATTTTTAAGGACAGGTGGAAACTTCCATTTCCTTTAAAAAAATGTGTATTTGAACTTGGCTTCACAGCTGGTAATGCAGTGCTCCTCCTTCAGGAGGTTCTCATCAAGTAATGTGGAGGGAGGAGGAAAAAAAAAAAGTAACTTTGATCAGTTTTAATGAACCTGCTGCTCTGAGCCCCAGGGACAAATACAATTCTACAGCTGGCATAAACAGATAATTCATCCAAAATGGATTAACTGTCCACAATAAACAAACAAAAATTGATGTGCATCATTTATACCATTTTGGGGAAAAATAAGTGTCTTTGTGGATAATGAGCGTCCAAGTGACATGAACAAACTGGGATTCCCGCTGCTTCGTGTCCTTGGAAATGACTACCAGTTCCAACTGACTCTCTGCTCAGACTGACCTCCACTCCCCCCCCCATGGTGCAAACACTCATAAACAATCATCATCAACTCCCAACTGCTGGGCCAACGATAAAACACCACAAACAGTTTAACTGATCTAAAACACCCGAAGCAACCTCGTGGAAAGGATCTGATTAATCATCTGGCACCTGGTTGTGATTCTCAACAGCTTCCAAACTGATCACTTTTGGGCGGGTCGGAAACGTTTTCTTCTGTTTAACGGGGTTTGTCTCGGGATTAGTGTAAATGTTCTCCCATCTGGAACATCAGCTTGACCTAACTGCTAACGCCAACCTAGATACAGTCCCTCAGAGGGGGCGGACATGGAAGAAGAGAGGCAGGCGTGAATAAAACTCAAACCTTCAGTAATAAGCAAAGGGTAAATGGAAGCCATATTGAGCTAGCACTGTTTCCCTAAACTTGCCGTTAACCTGAGTCTGTTTGTGAAATATGGTTTTGTTTGAATATCAAGAGGGAAAAGTTGCCATTATATAGCATCACTGGGGCTCCTTTAAGTCCAGTATCTTCTCTACTGCAGTGACTGTTGGCAATAAGTTGGCATTCACAAAGGGCTGGTTTATACGTCGTCAGACGTAGTTTAGTGATGAAAATTGCTTTTTCCTCATGCCGCCTCCAAGAAACTGGTTCATTGCACAACCCCCGTCAGAACTCTCGCACGGTAAGCACCAACCGTTGTGTGATTAGTCTTTGTGTTTTTGCAGAAATGTAGAGGCAGCACGCTGCTCTCGTTTCGGCTCTGCTGAGGAGCAGCTGGCCGAGGCTGTTTAAAAATACAGTCATCGTAATGACTGTTCAAGCCAAAATTCTGAGAGTCAAGTAAATTCTACGATTGTTGAACTTGTGGAAAAAATGTTGTGCACAGAAGAGACGATGTGGCGACACAGGCGGCTCTCCGTGGCTCTGCTGACGGAGAGGGAGCGCGCTGTCTGGACATCGTAAGGACACGTTCCTACTCTACCTGTCGGGAACGATGGTGGTCTCTTGGTGACGGTAGCGCAAATGGAACAAATGGTGTCCGACAAGGTTAAATCATGGATTCTTCTTTGTCGATATGTTTCGTCTTTTTATCCAAAGGATGAAACCTTTCAACAAAGAATTGTCCACAGGACCTGATTTGACCTTGTTAGATTTATCTACCTGGATTATTGAGCATGCATCGGGACAGCACAAATGGTGCGTCTCCTTCCAAAGTTAAGTCAGGTCCTATGAACGGTGTCTTTTTGTTGAAATGTTTCGTCTTTAATCAGCTTGAGGAACTGCAACAAATTCATGCTTATAAATGGCACCTTCTCGTGGTGGGTCAACCAGTTTGATGGTGCTCAAGTGGTTTCTGGGGTCCGCCCTCTCCCCCGCCGACTCGTTTCAGGCGGTCATGGCCAAAGTGCTTCTCGCTGGTTAACAAACTAGAAACGTGTGCTAACCATGCTCTTGTTTTGTTGTTTCCATTTGTGCTGGACATATTGCTGATGCATGTGAGAGGGTTTATCAGAACATCCACCCTCCACACACGCACAGTTTCTGTTCGAGTACAAGATATCCAAAAGAAAGAGCCCCATACGAGTGGGGTGTTTTGTGAAGTTTAAACCAGACTAAAGGAGTTTCCAAATTGTCAACATGGTTGCAAGAATCCTGTTTCCTTGCATGTGCCGCGGGCATCGCTTCTGTTCTGATGGATTATTGAGCAAGTTTGAAAAATCATTTTGGTGACTCTAAATTGTCCCTAGGTGTGTGTGAGAGAGTGAATGGTTGTTTGTCTCGATGTGTGATGGACTGGACACCTGTCCAGGGTGTCCCCTACCTCTCGCACAGTGATGGCTGGACATGGGCACCAATGACCACTGCAAATTCAAAATGGTCAAACGTCAGTGTGGTTCTCTGAGACTTCTCTCTCAAGCACTTAGTAGCTTTGGTTGTGTAAATCTTGATCTGTAGAGGTGGTAGGGCTGGACATTTACCAGTAGCTTGTGCAAATGTGCATATTAAGCAAGACTCCAATGACCATTGCTTTCTTGCAGTTCAAAGTGGTCTGCCTTGATGATGTTGCTTTGGGCTGTGATTGGGACTACATGGATAGAAATAGAAGTCTAGTTCCAATTTGACTTTTTTTTTTTTTTTTTAAGAGTTCAAAGCTCATGACCCAAGCAACTTCCTGCAACCCACACAAAAGAATCAAGACCCCTTGCAAACCTCAAGACATTTGGAAAACTCCTTCATGACTAACGTTTGAAATTTGTTACCAATAGTAATAACCCAGAAAGACACTAGCTTAAGAAGAAATAAACCGTGAAGTCAACTCCTTCCAAGTCTTTCAATGGCTCGCTTCTTTCTGGTTCTGGTGACGGCCCTCCATAACTTCCCGGGACTCGTTCATTGACAAACAATTCAATTACCCATATCTGTCCAAGCCAAGGACAACTAATTCCGTCTAGATAAATCCAAAGCTTTTTCTCTCTGAAACAAATACCACTAGTCGTTTTTTCCCAAATAAAACTATAAAGTCTGAAACTACCTAGCGCAACTATTCTGCTTCCGATTGTATTTTTAGCCCGTCTGAAACTTTCCATACAACCAGTTTAAAAACGAAGCCTGTTGACCTTTTTAGTCAGTAAGTTCTTTGTGTTCTTCTCAAACAAACTAGATGCCAAAATAGAAGAGAAGATAAGATGTACATCTATGTTTGTGGTTTCGGGCTCGGAACATCGCAGGTGTGTGTGCAGTGCTGAATTATTTACATCTTTTTATAAGCCTATTGTTTGATCAAACAGTTTTTTTGTTCCTAAGCAAATGTAATGTTGAGATGGGACCCATCAGTGCATCTAGTGATGAGCTCATTACCAAATGTGTCACGGGGAAAAATAAAATCCACTGAAACTGCTAAAGGAGGGAGCGTGGACGCCGAGGCTGCAAAAACAACGTTTACATGAATAACTTTTTATTCTAATTCCCATTCGCAGCACAGCTCAAACATCAACTCGCAGTCGAGCAGCACATTTCACATCGCAGCTCAAGTAGAAAACTCTGATCCGTTTCTGTGCGTTTTAGTCGGCTGGAAGGATTTGATCCTTTCGGTGATTCACGAAGCAACAAACACTGGAGTTATTGTCGGACCTTTGTTACATTTAAAAGTCTGATTTAACTCCATCTGTCTAGAGGCTGAACTTTATTGCCTGCCGCTGAAAGAATAAAGGCAGATAATGTCTTTGCTCATGACTGGGTATATATGTGTTTGTTTGCAAGTCCCACGAACCACTGGACAGATATTTTGAGTCTTAATCATCGTATGTGCAGTTACAAGAATAACTAGGTGCTAGGTGATGTTGGCAAACACAAAAACAGCTCCAACTCCATCAGTTTTATAGATATTTAGATGGTATGTAATAGTAGCTGATGGGGGTGTAGCAATACATCGATTTTAAATTGGTATCTATTTTTTATGATTCAGTTATATCGTGGCAAAACTAAAACATCGATTCGTATCGTCGTCTTTAAAATACGCGTTTTATTTTGAAATTCCCAATCTGTCAGAATTTCCGTGCGTGACTGCGCTCTGCGGCCGCCTCAGCAACATGGCAGACAT